TCTGAATTCTAGTTGCAAGGGCTGAGGAGAAGAATGAGCTGTGTGGTTCCGATTGCTACCGTTGTTATAGAGTGCTGTAAAATCAGTTTTGATTCCTTGCAGCCCCATGGGACAGAGTAGAAACCCCTGCGGGGTTTTCTAGGCTACAATCTTTATGGGAACAGATTGTCAAATTTTTCTCTCGTTAAGTTAGTAGTTGATTAGAACTAATAACCTCTTGTTTACCAGCTTAGCACTTAACTTGTACCACCAAAAGTCCTTGTTGATTTGATCATCATGTTACAAACAATGAGGGGAAAAAGACAAGGCTTTCAGTTCCCATAAAGAATGATTGTCTTGGAAACCCACAGGGGCAGCTCTACCCTGTCCTATAGGGTCACTGGGAGTCAGAATCAGCTCCAGGGTGGAGAGATATCGGAATGAGTCAGAATAGATAATGAGTTCTTTTACCTTATAATATGTACTTCTCATAATTCCAAAAGACAGGCATATGAAAAGGTGGGAAACACACCCAAGAACCCAAAATCTGAATGAATCTTTTTTTAAGGCTAACTATAAACTGTAATAAGTGTGACACAGTGAAGTCCCGTAAGGCTTCCCCAAGCACAGCTATTAATTACTAACTGCACCCAGAAGAAACTAATTTTTTACACTTTGTAACATCTCTTTAACTCTCAAAATCAACTATTCTGTGTTTCCATATCCATTCTATCAGTTTTATCCCTGGACTATTTTGAACTACACATGGAGTTACGTAATTAGAATTGGCATATCACTTTTTAAAATTAGATGCATTCCTCTCTGCCTTTCTATATTAAAAATCTTTAATATGTCTTAAGTTTGAAATTCAAGACAACTATATAGAATACTTTTTTAACCTTTCTTTCTCATAATGCATTGGGTAAGATTCAAAATACTCAAGATAATAACATATCTCTTTGTAACAGAACATATTTTGTTTGGTTTAATTTTTTCTCTCACTCTAATTTATTAGAATGCCCCCCCCCCACTCCCCCATCACTGCCCTCAATGTGCTGTGCTAACTTCAAACAAATAACCAAATGTGTATCTGTGGGAATGGTCAGTGAAACTTTCAAGTCAGGTTTAGGTTGTGATTGCCAAAGCTTTCTAGTGGCCCTTGGTAGAAGCAGGTATAGAGACAAATGCAGTGGTGGAAGCAGGCACATAGCCACCTGAAAACACAAACTATAAAGAAGAATAGGTCTACGCATTCCCAAATTAAAGAATCAGTGTCAGAGAAATACTTAGCAACTGACATTGGGCTCACATTAAGCTGACATTCAAATAAGCAGTGCTCACAGAAGTGCAGGCAAATGGTTCTGGCAGAACAAAACCTTTGAAAACAAGCTCAACAATTCAGATATTTGTACTACTGTATATACTCCTGGATAAGCCGAGCTTTTCAGCACATTTTTAATGCAGTTTTTGTGGTAAAATTAGGTGCTTCGGCCGATATTCGGGTCAACTTATACTCGAGTATATACAATAATTTCATGTAAGATTAATTGACTTGAAGTAAATGGATATTGTGTAAACACTGCATATGGCGAACTGATTTTCAATAGATTGGTCTACTATCTAGTTTATGTTTTAATTATTGTTCTCTACTCAAAAAATCAAATTCACTGCTATCAAGTTGATTCTGGCTCACAGCAACCTAACAGGACAGAATAGAACTGCCCCTTTGGGTCTCTATGGCTTGAAATAATTACAGAGCAGAAAGCCTCATTTTTATCTTTCAGAGGAGCTAGTGGGTTTGAACTGATGACTCTGAAGTTAGTAGGCCAATTTGTACCTCAGTACACCACCAGAGATCCTAGTCCCTCCAAAGGCCCTAGTAATTTATGATCTACATTCACAAAAACATGACGGATTAACTTAATTTCTGAAAAGATCTCATCTCCAGTCATTTATCAACTTATGTCTTGATAAACATTTATTAAGCATCTCCTTTTTGCCAGTTATTAGACTTAAGCACCGAGTTAAACACTGAGCAAGAGAGAGAGGCAAGTGATATAGGAAATAATATCTTGAAGGACTAGAAGTATAAATATGCATGCTATACAAGGGGGCTTAATAAAGTCCATGGGAAAGTGGAAATAAAAGGTATTGGAACTTTTTGAGATTCCCCTCACATGACAGATGAAAGAAGTCCAGATGAAATGGGTTCAAAAATTTATAAAAAGTAAGAAAAGATGAAGAAACCAGATCTTAAAAGGCCTTGTTAAAGGTGTTGCACTGGTGACTGGAGCAATGAAAGCCAGTGGAGGGTTGGCAACAGTAACTGATAGTCATGTCACCAGGCACTCACTTTCAGCCAACTGATCTGCCTGCAGGCACAGTGAAGGCCAACAAGGAGGGTAGGAGAGTGGTTTGGTGAAATGATATTGCTATGAGCCAAGATGGCGACAAAGGAGCGAGACAAGCAGAAATGTTTAAGTGCTACTCACACTCACAGCCATCCAGTCCATGTCGACCTAGAGTGGCCTGATACAGCAGGGTAGAACCACCCCTGTAGGTTTCTGGACTATAACTTTACAAGATTAGAAAACCCGGTCTTGGCTGTTGGTTTTGAACTGCTGACCTTGAGGTAACCAGCCCAATCCATAACCATTCTGCCACCAAGAGCTCATCTTAAGGGGAGGTATGAGCAGGCAGTTGGTAGCAGCCTAGTGGTTTGAAAGATAGCATCCTAAAGTATGGCTTGAGCTACAAAGTGAGTGGGACTTTTGATTGAGTTAGAAAACATTGGAAGTTGAGAAGAAACAAAGGTCATTAATTTGTATTTCAGTAAGTATACGTGAGAGGTATCGTAGTAACATAGTATGTGCTCAACAAAGGTTTGCTAAACATTTATTATTGAATAACTTGCCCTTTCCCTGTTTCTCAACTGTATAGACCTTGATATCAAGGAGTGCAGGAAGGAAAAGAATATTTGGGAACTGACTGTGGTAGCAATTGTACAATACTGTATGGCATGATTGAACTATGGGATAATATAAGTATTAACTCCCCATTAATAATAAATTTTTAAATAAATAAACACCTTCCCCACATAAACGCTGAAGACAAATGTGTGCATAAGTAAGTGTGGTGAAGAAGGCTGATAGTGCCTGGCTATCAAGAACTATAGCATCTGGGGACTTAAAGGCTTGAAAGTAAACAAGCAGCCATCTAGCC